TCTGGCGGCCTGTGCATGGCGCTGATTCACAGGGAGGGTTGGCTTCTTGGAGACTTCTTGTTCTCATTCCCCGCAGTCCACCTCTGCTTGAAAGGTTTATGGACTCCAGTTCTTTCTATGCTGGGCATTCATATTGTATGTCTCTTTCATTAGCATTGCTACTTAAAAAAAAATCTTCTGTAGACTCAGGGACTTTTATTTCATTAGCATCATTATCTGTTTAGTCATGCTTTTGAATTCACCAAGCACATTATTAATTTGTATTGTTACCTCCATGGTTACTTTTTCAGATATTTTGGCATTGTAACTTTTGATTTCCTTTCCTTTGATGTTTCTTGGTTCAGTTTTGGGGGAGTTAGAAGTTTTTGTTGTCTTGTTTTCCCATGTTCTTATTTTGTTTTTCTGTGCTGAGACTGATTATAGTTGGTAACTGTTGCTAGTATGGAGTCCTCTTTTCAGAGATGTCCTCTGGTAATAGCTTACTACTGACTTTTACCACTGTTCCAGGAGCCAGCCAACTCCATTTATTTGGGAGGTGAGGTTGTAGTTTATTTGCCCCAGTATCTGCTTACTCAAAATGGGCCATAGTATTTTTTATTATCCCCAGGCAATCTAAATATTGACAGAGATAAAACCAGTTGATACTAATAACTGAGTCACCTTGCCTGCAGTTGTAAAATCAGCAATAACAATAGTATCAAATGCAAATTGGTTAATGACAGATCCTAAGAAAAATCATATACCACCCTTAACCATAAAAAAGAGATCTATAAATATAATCACTAAGAAAAACTAGATATTAACCTACAGCAAATATCTACTCAACTGAAAAGCTTTATCCCACCAACAGAAGGATAGTGTTCAACCGTGGTAAGATTTAAGTAACATAGTATCTATAGATTCTTAAAGCTTAATGATTATTCCAGAAAGGATAGAGGTTTTGAAGTATAGGAACATTAAAAAGGTAGAATTTGAAGAAATAAGTGATGGAAAATGAGAAGGTGATATAAGTGAAACAAAGCAACTTAATAAGAAGTAAGATGAAATTAGTAGCATTTGATAAAAATTTAAAAAAGGAAAAAATACCAATGGAAGAAATTAAAAGAGGAAGAGTGAGAAAAGAAGAAAGGAAATAGAAACAAGGGTAAATAAAGATAATAATAATTAAATAGGAGAACTCCAAATACCAACACCACAAAAATAAAAACAAACAAACAAAGAAACAAAAAAAAAAAACAGAGGAAAGAAACTGATTTAAAAAAAAAACTGTCTGCAGTTTGATTCTTTGGTATTTATTTGCACAAGCTGACTGGACTACTGTGTAGTCTATTTTGAACATAGTTCTGTATGCCACTAAGAAGAATATGTATTCTGTTGCAAATAGGTTAAAATATTTTATAGGTGTCTATTAGGTCCATTTATTCAAAGCTGTTGTTCAATTCTGGTGTTTCTTTTGTTCAACTCTGATACTTCTTTCTTGGTATTTTTTGTCTAATTGATATCCCCCACTATCATTGTGTTGTATTTATTTGTTCTTTGATGTCTAGTTTTATGAAGTTGTATGTAAAAACATTTGGTGCATATATATTTGCAAGTGTTTCTCTTCCTGTTGAATAATACACTGTAGTGATTTTCTTTGCTTGCTGTGATCAATTTTTACTTAAAGTGCACTTTGTCTGTGAAGACTACTTGTGATGGGGCCTCATGAATGGAGTACTGTTTTCCATCTTTCAATTCTTAGTTTAGTCCATGAATTTCTTTTTGGATTAGCTATGTTTCTTTTATGTAGCAACCTGTGGGTACTTTTTTTTTTTTTTTTTTGGTTCCCGGAATTAAACTCAGGACCTGGCTCTTGCCAGGCAGGTGTTGTGCCACTGAGCCATATCCCTGACCACTTTTGAATACTTATAGTCCTGTCTGTCAATCTGTGTTTTCTTTGGGGAGTTTCAGTGATTTACATTGAAAGTTATTACTGAAGGATACTGACTTATTCCTGTCATCACTGCATTATTTTCTGCTGTGTGTTCCTTTCTTTTCTCTCTCTCCCTGTCTCTCTGTCTGTCTGTCTGTCTGTCTCTTGTATAACTACTGATTCTGATGCATTCATTCTATTCTAACAGACTTGTCTTTTTACATTTTTGGCCTCTGTCTAAGAATTTTTAGAGTACTGGTTTGATGTTCATGAATTCTTTATGCTGTCCATTGTCATGGAGTGTCTCGTTTCTCCATCAGTTTTGAAAAGTGATTTCACAGATAAAATATTATCTGTGATTAAACATTATTTTATTTTGGGGGTCTTGAAACTCTTCACTCTAAGCTGCTGATCTGTCTGGACCTGTCTGCTGGCTGTACACCATAATTTGGGCATGAGCAACTGTGGGCCTACATCTGTGCTTTAAAATCTGTCCACGTTAATTTGGGAGGAAGAGTATAGTTTGCGCAACACCAAAGCCAGGTTCTTTGTCAGCTTCTGCCAGGGACCTCCTATTCCTGCTCCATTCACTGCAGGGAAAATCTTATGGTTGTCCTCAGAATCTCTTTCCTGGGGTCCCTCTGCCCAGTACTTTACCAGAAACCCACAGACATTTATCCAATCTTGGTTCCTAACCCTAGGGCTCCACTTACTGACTAGTGGAACTTGGCACAGTTTCTAGGGTTGGCAGGAGGCTTTCTTTGCCTGCATGGGACGTGGGAAGTGGGCAGTGGGCAGGATTTCACAGTCTCAGATCTTTCTAAAAAACTGTAGGCAGATGCCTGCTTCTGTCCAGCTCTGCTGACCCTTTCCTGCCCCTCCATGGCACTAAGGATGCTGTCTGTACTCCCTGTCAGTGAGTTCTGTGATGCTCAAGGATCGCTGCGCTTAGCCTTTCCCTGCCTAGGGCAGTAGACTTCCCTTGTTCATGTTAAACAATGAGCGATGGGCATGATGCTACAAAGACAGTGTTTTTCCATCCTTGGGAAGCTGGTGGGGAAGAAATGGCCTGTCTTTGTGCTGCTGGCTGCCTCTTTCTCTTGTTGCAGTCTGTGACTTTTTTGGACTCTTAACTGTAGTTTGGTGCCCCTTAAAATTGCAAATTCATATGTTTCAAGAACTTTCTGGGTTGAAAGATATGCTTTAAACATCGTTCATAAATAAGGCCAGTATAGATTTCCACTTAGAATTAGATGAAAGCGTAATGAATATTCTAGAAGGACTTTTCAACAAAAGATGACTATATAATAGAAGGTGGTTTGAAATACAATAAAACTACATCTGGCTTCTGTACTCCTGAACCAGGCCTGGGCTTAGCAGGCTTCTGATTCTTGCTACTTCCTCCTCAGTCCTTTTCTATGAGACTACAAGCCAGTTCCTTTGAGTCTAACAGCAACACCTGAGGTCGACTTGTACCATGTGGATTTTGCAGCTGGGTGTCTCTCACTGATCAGAAGTCCTGCTCAGTGTATGATGTGGACTTCTCCACTGCCGTGTGACCAGAGCTCGCTCTGGATTGAGATCTCCCTCTCCTGGCTCTTCTGAGGCATGGTTCTCTTGTGTCTTTGTTCTCTTCTTTGACTATTCCAAGTCTTCTTGCTTAGCTTCTGTTGAGAATTGCACCCAGTTTCCTGGTTTCAGCTGTTCTGTGAGTCCCAATGAAAGGGGTGTCTAATTTCCTCTATTATAGCCCTATCCTGGCGGTCATCTCTATGGACCTGACTTTCCCCAAACAAGAGCATGTAGGAAGGAAAGCCATCTCACCTGGACTCTGCTCAGATGTGCAACACTGCTGCCCCAGGCCCTGGGATTTTTGCTGTAATGGTCAGGAAGTTGTTTTCCTCGTCAGCAGCCTGAGATTCACAGGGTGTGGTATGCATACTTGCCATGTCTGTGTATCCTTCACTTTATTTAGTTGGAATTCTTGTGGTCATATAATTTTCATATAGGATGCCAAGGGGTTGTGTGTTTCACTTGCATGAATAGAATCATTAAGGCTTTTCTTGCACATGTTTGTGTGGACAGAGTTGTCATTTCTCTTATGAAATCCTGAGGAGTGGATTTCTGGTCATAAGGTCTGGATTTTGAACTTGCCTGGGAATTTACAAATAGGTTTCCAAAGTGCTTGTACCATCTTAACGAGACCCCAGGTGTTCGGTACACAGGTGAGTGCAGATAAAACAACAGGTGGCAAGTGACAAAGCACAGGAAAGCGGGATGTGTTACTGCGTGGGCCAGAAGCCCAGTTCCATGGGATGTGCTGTTGTGGGTCGAATCTTGGCTCCTGTGTGGCTGTGAGAAGCTGCTGCCCCTTAACTATGATTTTCGTGTACTTGATCAGCAGTGGTGTTTCCTCCCTGGGGACAGCCAGTCCCTCTCACTTCCCTGCTGTCTCTCGTGGACCAGCCCTAACAGACAGGCACTGAGATGGGAAGGGCTGGTTCAGAAACACTGTGAGATGCACACTCTTTTATGTTCAGATTTTGTTGGGGCAGGACTCACCTCTCATGTCATTGTACCATGTCTCAGCATCAGTAGACTTTCATAACATGCACATGATATAATTTGTTAGTTAACAATGATCTCAATTCTTATATCACATTAGTATGGGACCTGATCTAAGGTTATTCTTCCCTGAAATGAAGTATATGGTGACAATTCTGGCTATGCACTATATGACTTGTATAGTCACATGTAATATATAGTAACTCCTTCGGAAAGGAGATTTTTAATCAGTAGTTATAGAAATCTGTTTGAATTGCTGAAATTCTAAGTTACTAGTTGGAAACAAAGTCTGGTGTAACCAGTTCTCTCAGTGTCAATGCAACATAAGTTTTCTCTTAGGTTTGAAACTGTAAGGGGAAGGTGGTACCCTTGCTTGGCAAAGCCAACACTGGACATGCCTAGTACTGTCAGGTGGCCTGGTGACCCAACTGCGAAGGTTAAGCTGCAGACAGCACTTCTCTTGTGATTTGGAGCTAGCCAAGGCTCTCAGTCACCCAGGATGCCTGCCTGTCTTGTCTTGTAGGCTTACCTGTATGAGCTGGGCTCCAGCACTTTCCACCACCGGCTGGCAGGGCACACAGATACCGTGGCTGCAGTGGCCTTCAACCCGGCGGTGCCCCAGGTATGGTCTCCAGGGATGGGATCAGGGCATGTTTTCTCTGTTGCCTATGGCCTCACAGTGTACCTTTTGTATCTGGAAGAGTTTATGTTGGCAAAATTTTATCATATCTGTTGTTACCTATAAATTAAGTATTGATTAAAGGAGGATTTGGGAATAGCAATTTAACTTTGTCTCTGTAAGGCTGAATCTCAAATGTAATCATTAGGTGTTTGTTAACTTGCTGTTTTCACTACATAATGTATTGTGGCAGTCTGGTCTTTCCTCCCTTTCTCCTTTCTGCATGCTGGGGCAGAAACAGGAGCAAGTAGCGGAGAGGCTGTTCTCTCGCCAGTCTGTCCTCCACACAGTGAAGTGAGGAAGCGGCCTTGAAAACTTGTTCTTTTCCTTATGGTAAACCTTTAGATTATTTCCAAGACTTTAGTGTTACAAGTTATGTTTTTAAAATTTATTTTAAAGAAAAAAAAAGAAAAAAAAAAACCAAGACAAAACAGAAAAAAGGGTAGAAATAATACAGAATTTAAAAAACAGTTATTAACACTAAGAAATCTAGTTGATAAATTACATATTGTCCTCTTAGAAATAGTTGTTCAAGTTACAAAATCAAAGCATAAAAAGTGGCTAGACACTCAAACATTGGCAGTGCAAACCATTCTGTTCAATGATCCAATGAAAACTTAGTAATATGGTCATCTATCTTACACACTTAGGCATACATGCAGTTATATCCTTTAGAGCACTTTCCTTCCCTTTCATTTTTACAGTGTCTATTATTTTAGATCTTGTTACTCTTTCAATTTTTATTATTTTTACACTAGAGAGACTGTGACATTTACAGATATTTGATTTATTTCACTTATGTGGATACAAGTTATGTTTTGATGTACATCATTGGGTATGTAATTTTTTTTTTTGCATCTGAGTTTGTTTTCTCAAAGTGGATAATTGGTCATGTTGATATAGGGGAATCAAACTCCCAACTTACTATGTCTGCGAGCTCCTGTTCTCTAAAATCGAAGAATGAATTTTAGGAACAATGGAGATAGAAGAGTAGAATATATTTATTGAGAGAAAGAAAGCTTCTGTCTGAGAGAGAGAGAGAGAGAGAGAGAGAGAGAGAGAGAGAGAGAGAGAGAGACAGAAGGTTAACAGGTTGCCCAGGACTGTGTCTCTTCCAGGGACTTTTATAGAGAAAAACCATGGATGGGGGGGGGGGGGAGGGACAGGGGACTAGGAACTCACAAGGCAGATGGGCATAAGGTGGGACAGAACTATAGTTAGCCAGTAAGATCAATAGTTCAGGTAGAATTGATAACATTAGGGACAAATGGGAAAGCAAGTCACAGTAGAAAAGGGGCATTCTTAGAGCTTTCCCCTAGGGCCTAGGGGGATGGGATAGAGACTGCAGGGTGATAGGGAACTAATTAGAATATCAGCCTTTGAGATGTGGATACTTTTGTTTGATCCTTTGTCTTGAGGCCTGGCCCACAGTAGGAGGTGTCAGTCTCCCCCACAACTGTAAGGTATCTGCACTGGCTCCTTGGAGGACCCAGCCCTGTCTCACTGCCTGTAATATTTATAACTAACTGGGCTGCCTGCAGCAGTGTTACTGAAAAGTGTTCTGATGTGGGCAGATATCTCAGAGTCCCTGTGCCTGCCTTTTTGCGGGGTTGGTGGTTTTATCTGCCTGCTCAGTTAAGCTCAGTGCCAGCAATCAGTACCTCACTGCAAATTGCTCACTTTCACCCTTTAGCTCTTTATCTTTTGCACTCAGTGTTTTGCTTACTAAGTTCACTTAACTTAAAATTTTTGTTTTTGTATTTAGTGGTTTTTTTTCCCTAGATTCGGTTTTGGGTTTTGTTTTGTTGTTTTTTCTTTCAAGCACAGGATTTGATTTATTCTAGTTATTATAGAATCAGAAATTCTGAGTTTGTGCCTGTTGAAATCATAGAACTGTTAACATGTTGTAATAATTTTTGGACTTTGGATATGCATGGATGCTGCTTGTTGCTTTCTGGTCACAGGAGTCCTTACCTGCTGTTGCTCTAAGTGGTGTTAGTGTTTTCCTTGCAAAATGTTTCTTTGATTTATTTTATAATTCACTAATATTTCTTTTTAAAGAATAATCAATCACAGACAAACAGAACTGGGTTATTGAAGAGAAATTGGTAGTAAAAGTTGAACTCATCAATCAATGAAAAAATGGTACTAGGTTTACAGAAGTCCTACTCTGATGCAGGGCTTTAGGGCAGATTATTTAGTTAGGAAGCAGCATGGGCTGTGCCCAGAAACTCTGGGCTGTCATGTGTTTGATGACATGTGACAAGAAGGGCACTGGTTTCTCTTGCTTGAGTCAGTGGAGAGGTGAGTGTCGCAGATTTCAGGGACAGATAGAGGTTTTGGTAGACAAGACTTAAAGATTTTATGACTATTCATTATGGATGGTTCTAATTTAGAGATTTATGCAGAATTTAATGTTAAAACTCAGTCTTCTGATGGGAGATAGAGGACAATGCTTAACCTTGGAGTAAAATTTTGCCTAAAGATATTAGGCTTTGCTCTGGGTGTTGCCTTCACATTGGGCCAGGTGCTCCACAGAACAGGTCTCATCCAGGTTGAGCACCTCCCAGCTCAGTGAGTGAAATAGGACTGTTTGCATTTCTTCCAACTGTTGACTTTGGGGTTTTTCCTTGGCTTTTTTTTTGTTGTTGTTTGTTTTTTTGGCTTTTTAAGGGGTGTTTTTGCCCAGTTTAAGCATGGGTTTTGAGCAGACTCCATTTGATCATGTGTTAAATGTGCCAGATGGTTCCTGGGCAGGATGGAGCCCTGCAGGGCCTGGATCTCTGCGTCAAAGGCACCTGTGTGCTGGAAGCTGTCTTCCTTATTCCTAAGGGAATGGGTCTCAGTGCACTGGCCTCTGCTTATGCTGGCTCAGTCCCTTTCTTGCTGTCTTGGAGAGTATCAGGAGCACACTGAATTGGTGGCAAGGCCATGAAATCAGGTGAGGAGACAGGTGGAAACTACTGGTGTTCATATGTGGGAGACAGACATCCAGGTAGGACAGATAGATGCACGCCAGCAACAATCTGGGGTCAACCCTCAGATGTGGGAACAGGAAATAACTCTCTGGTATAAGCATGGTGGCTGCTATGTGTGCTGGGCAGGGAGATACACTGCTTGGCTTCTTATCTGGGGACTCAGTGCCTGATCATATCGACCTCCAAGGCGCCCTGAGAATGACCCTGCCCACTGAGGTGAAGAAGAGGTCCTCAGCCACAGGTCCTTACCCATGTGCTGCTGTCTTGCGGTAGAGGTAAGATCTGATCCAGTGCCCATTCCTTCTGAGTGCTCCTCCATGCCCTGCGTGGATCCATAATCACAAAATTAAGTCAGCCTGTGAACATGGGAGCTGCATCTTCTTATCCTCGTGACTGGGATTTTGGTTTGCGCTTACTTCCTGGACTGTTAACATTAAGTGGTTTCTGCCATCATGTCCACTCAGTGTCTTACTTTTTGAAACAGGGCTGCACTCATCCTTTGTTGATACACCTTTTACTCGGAATACACAGTTTTTAAAATAATGCTTAACATTTTAAGCTGATTGTAGGTCAGCCAGAGACACAGTGGTGTGAGAGAAACACAACTGGGAGGAGGAGGGAGGTGTGTTCTGCTTGGGGCACGCCTGCAGGCCAAGTGCCAGCAGAGATCTGGCTGCAGAGACCCTGCTGACCTGGGGCCTCCCGTCAGAACTTACGGGCTTCGGGTTCCTTTGGGGCTGTGTTTCGCTTCTGGTACCAGGTCCACTTCCTCTGCCTCTGAATCTAGTGATTCGGCTCCTGGCCAATCCTTCGAACCTCAGGGAAACTATGCAGGACACAGAGCCCAGCCTTGTGCCTTGGCCTGCTCTTGGCAGCCAGGTGCACGAGGCCTCTCTGGAGGCTGAGAGCAGTTTTCCTCCTCGGGCTGCTGGGAGCTTCCCAAGTCTCACTGTGCTGCTTCTGACCTGCCATCTGTTCTTCATCTCACACTACCATATCCATTCTGGGCCAACCACCTCTTCTAATCCCCTGTGGGCCTAAGTTTCTCTCTCTGTTGGACATTTCTATGGGGGAATTCCATGCGCTGACTCAGATAAAGTGGTTTAGTCCAGCGCCTCACATCCTGTCTTCCTCTTGGTGATCTGATCACTGGTCACTCTGTCCGCTCAGGCCCAAGTCTGGAGCTTCCTGGTGCTTAGTCTCCATCACTGCCATCTGCTAGGCCCTTAGAACACTTCAGCTGTCAGACATGGACATGGCCTTATTTCTTATTTGTAGCCTAATACAAAATGGTTGAGTTTGCTCTGAACCTTTCCTTGTACTGGGAGCATACAGTGTAGCAGTCACTCTTCTTGAGTGCTTTATTTACATAATGGAACGATCTTCAGATGTCTTCACAGGGTGAGGGAGCAAAGATGACATCAGCTATCATTGTGACATGGGGACTAGGAAGATGCTCCCCTTTTTGGATGTATTAACCAGAACTGAATTTTAAATGCAAGTTTCTAAAATGTTTGTTTCTATGCTATGAAAGGCAAGCTATATTCTATTTTTATTTATGTGATATTAATATTATTTTCTTTTTTAGTTATTAAATGGTACTGTGTTTTTATATATATATATAAACTGTTCCAGTCCACACTTTTCCTGACTGCTCTTCCCTGCCACATAATAAAGTTAATTTCATTCCCAAGGAATCTACACTGCTTTACTTTTGGAAAATATTCTGCAGATTTTAGCAAAGTCAACAGCCAAACCATAAATTTGATGTCACACAGACCACAGGAATAGGTAGTCTGCCATCATCCTGTTCCCTTTTTTAATAGTTGAGTAGCTTCTGTAATAACTGAAAATTATCCTGCATGAGGTATTGATCTTTTACTGGGATATGGGCTTGACCAGTCCATATTGGAGATAAAGATAGCGAAACATAATCAGAGGACTGGCTTTGAGCTTTGTGGTTGC